TTAATCTCACCGGTACGATGAGACCTAAAATTTTACCAGACGAGGACAAGATAATGGTTCTGCGCCAGTTATTGCAGAAAACCACGTCACACTTCTTTGGCATTTTCACACAGTAGTCTAAATTCCAATTCACAGATACCGCTTCCTACCTCCACATCCTTTGCAATGGTGGCGTGGGAATATCCATTGCGATCTCTGGGTCCGTTTCCATGGCGTCGGGAGGAAATCCATATGGTCCTGCTACCTTCTCAGCCGCCTTGTACTATCTTGATTGCATCCCAGATATCCGTATTCGTTGGAGGATTAGTGTCCACTAGCAGTACTATGTTCTCTGTTGATGATATTTCTGGGCGAATTGCAGTTTTTGGTCGATTAGTGTGTATTTCGAGGTGATCAGCCCATTTTTTATTTGTCCCTCCTCCTTGGTGATCAGGTTCCTTTGAACATCTTGTGTTGTTTTCGTCTGAGTCGATCCTATGCAGGATGGAGACCTGCTTTCTTGATATGGTGTTCTCAGATCTCTAACACCTACAGCCTTGTTGTTCTACTCCAGTGATACATTCATCTTCTAAATTTCCTAGCGCCTTCTTCAATTCTTCATTCAGTGAGATGTACACTGAACTCTGCCTCACCTTCTGCTGTACATTTCCGCACTGAATCATCTCCCATCTCACCATATTCCTCCTTTCCAGGAGCATCCAGGCGCCCGCCGAGAACCACTCGTACTGTCGCGTCTCTTCTTTCTTCTTAAAATGGCTGTACACGTTTCCGTGAACATCAGCTTCACACAGTCCCAATGTTTTTCTCCTCAGATTTCCTCACAGATGCAACGTAGTGTCTCCGACATTCCTCTGATAGCTGCAGTGAACGTGTCATTCGGAGATTTATGTTTCAGTTCCTGAGTGCTGAAATCAAATTGTGGTCTGTCTCCAGTTGTTTCGCAGAATTTTAGCCTCACCTCGGACGTTCATTACAGCAGATAATGGTACGATGAACACATCTGCTCCCCGTCTCAATACTGTGTCCAGCAGTCTAGCTGCGTCTGTCAGCGTCTTCATCAAATGAAGTTGTTCACACTGCCTCCTTTCATCAAATATTTGAAGGCGGAGAAATCTGTGAATAGTTCTGGAATTCTCATTATGATTCTCGTGTCCCAGTTTATGATGATGTCGATTACTGTTTTTCAATTATCTATAGGAATCTTCCTTCTTCTCTTATTCTGAACTGGTTTTGAGTACGTAGTGTTGGATAGTTCTTACATTTCTTCCTTCACTCGTTCTGAGTTTGATATTACTGTCGTAATCCTTCAGGTGGAGGTCGCTTACCAATCTTTGGGAACTCTGACTAGTGTTGGTTACGTCATCACAGCAACTCACTGTCTCGGTATCCTCGTGGTTATCCTCTGTGGGACCAGAACGAAATAGATCACTGACTCTCCAGTTGACACTCCGATAGTCCACATCCATTCCACAAGCTCTAACAGATTCCTAGCACTTCTGTGCCATATCCTCTCATTTCTTTGGAGACATGAGCAGCCTTCCTGGCTTCCTACATTGTGGGAACATTCCACGTTCTTGTTCTTACTTTTGCTTTCATCGAAATAATCAGTATTGTCTGAAAAGCTTCCAGAATACCCGCTACATTTCGTCTCTCCGATTGCAGTGAAAAACAAATTTGTAGTTTAAATTTTCGATATTTTGCTTGAGCATTGAATTTTCTGTAGCCTTTGATTGATATTGTGGGATAGCGTTGCTAAAACCCTGTACAGCGCTCCCTCGTTTTTGGTGCTTGGCACCGTCTAGTAAAATAAGTGAGTTAACCTGAAAATGGAATGCCTATCCTTAGGACGCTTTCTTATTGATACGAGGTAAGGATCAGTGAAATATTTCGTGGGAAATCTGTTTGCACCAACAGTGTGAATGGTTCCTCTAGCTTTCACTTACTAATTCACTACTGGCACATATACTTCAACACGGAACAATGCATCTTGTATTGGTCGAAATACTGAATCTGAATAATTCTTTATTGATGAATTCTTCACTGTTGCAAGAAGCAATAAGCCGACCGTATAAACGTGATCGTGAAACTGACATGAATACAATAATGTTAAGGCAGAATGCAGCTGTGTTGATTTTAACATAAACATAAATTCAAATGGAATCGTGTTTAATATGGACATTCTATTCCACCTTCAGCCAACATATTATTATACATTCCTTCCATTTCAACTGGTACTTAGAGCTCTAGAGGCTTATCCGCACTGTGCTAGCTCCTCACCTAACAATTATAAACAACTTCACAACTACCCACAAGATTTCAGTTTCCGAATACATGATCTCAATTTCCGTCTTTCCTGTCGAAGCCGTTGCCTTCTCCGCTGAGGGCTCCATGTGTGGTATCACTTAAATGTCTTCACAGAGTATATTCAACTCATCACCATTCTATAATCTTAATATCAACCTTCAGACATTGGATGGATTTCCTGAAGCTGCACTGGGAGGACTTAACTAGTACGGTCACAGTGTCAAAGAAGGTTGAATAGTCATGAAAGTCATTGATGTAGGCATTGTTTTGTCATGAGTTGACGAAGCTAGAGTCGGCGGACCACTGAACTCCATCACAAGTGACTGTATGGTCCTCAAACTTTGTCTCGTAATCTGAAGGTTTCGAGTTTGATCCATCTCAAGTCTGTGAGAGAACATTTTTCACTTGTCTATAGAGTGGGAAGAAACAGCTAACCAGTGCTCCCTGATTGTCGGTGATCTCTTTAACGGATATTCGTTCGTGCCAAAAGCCTAACAATCGAAATTCTGCATACATGCTGAGTAGCAGATTCGTACCAGGTACATACTCACCAAAGTAGACAATATCCCAATATTTTCGATTGACGATGCAATCTCAATATCAATCGAAAGCAATTGTACATGAAAGTTTTAACAGGTATTTGCAAATGATTTTCCTGATTCGGAAACAAAGTCTGTCAGACATATAGAAGCCTCTACTTGACATTAATTTCAAAATGGGTTCAGATATTGTTTCCCCTAAAGAATCCTGCAGAATACTATGATTCATTTACTTTATTCCTGCACGTTCCCAGTGGAACATAGGACTTCAATCTATAGGCTTGAAGTTTCGGTAGTTATAGTGTTTCCTTTTAAGGGATGGGGTCGCTAGCCTCATGCACAACCATCTTTACCGTCTTTACCAGTCTTATTACTGACTTGGCGAGGTAAAGGCGTGCGTCGGCCCTGGATCTAATCCCGAACCACTTGTGTGGTTGGTGAGCATCCTACCTCTGTTAGACTGACACACTAATTTGATGCAGGCCTTCATACTACTTTCTGAGTGGTAGACGCCTCTCTGTCCTACCACCAATAAATAATAGTTCTAATAAACTCATCTGTGTCACCTGTAGTCAAACTAATGACGATCTCATTCCCACTTTTCTCAGTGATGAGGATTTGTCTTCTCTGGTGCTGACATCCGCGTACTTCCACCACGTGTGCCTCTCACATTTTCCCTGAAGTGCAATCGTGCTTACCAATTCTGCCTAACCATCGGTTCTCACAATCAGAAAATTCAACAGCCTAAGTGAACAAATATATTCATCTACAATTGGTTACTCATCATTACCATCATCATCAGCTCTACGCTCTCAAGATTGTGCCAGTCACGCGGTTATATCAGACAATAACAACTACCAGTTCTAAGTGAAGCTGATGGATGGGAATCGGAGATTGAGAATAATCAAAACAACTAATTAGTAGATGTCACCAACAAGATATCAAAATTGATGGAGAGCTAAGGATTATTCTGCAATTCAATATCAGTCAACTCGTATATAATCCAGAAATAATTGGTCATATCATAACAGATCATCTCTAGTTTTCATAGTGTAACTGATAATATACTATTCAGTTAGGCTGAAATCGCACAACTAGCGCCATGGTAGTTCACACTAACATGTGAACACTGAATCGAGTGTAAAAGCGTCTACAATAGCTTACTGATAAGAGAGACAGATTTTTCAACTAACACCTAACACACTCAAACACACCTATATTTATCACATGCATACAAATACCTGATAAATATGAGTCAGTCCACACTTATCATACTTTGAGTGAAAACATTTGCATTTGACAATTCACATGATGGTTAAAAAGCAGGTGGTAAGGCAGTTTCGTTGACGACATGATTGTTCATAATTGTGCTAGTCAAATAGAGATGTCATGCATTTTGTGTGTTTACATTCCATACAGCCTTCAAATTCTTATAACACTTAATCGATTTTGATTATCTCATGCCAACAATCTGTCTAGCCATTCACATTTCCAGAAGTGATGTCTGTGAACTGGATTTCGATATTTCGGATGTCGAAACGTCATTCGGAGAAATTTAGACTCAGAAGTAATACAAAAGTATCACAGAATGTTCTCTTTGAATACAGTCGATCATGATACCTATTCTCTTGCATTATTTTTGTTCACCTGGATTGACTCCCCAGTCAATTTCATAACACCAGGCAACTGGAAAAATCTAGACTGATGGAAGTCCTGAGTAATCGGAGAAATCGACATTTGTCTGAATGGTATATGATTCAAGTTAACCATACACTGAAGTGTACACTTCAAATTGAATTTAGATGAAATTGCGAATGATTATGAAATTCGACTTTCACTTCTGCTAGTTGATCTCAAATATATAAAAGTCTAGCTGTCATAAACAAAACACGAGTAACTAAACATCCTTATTCTTCGATATGGAAAACCACTGAAATTTAGTCCGTACAAAATGTTTAATACAGCGTCAAATTCATTCACTTGAAACGTTTTGCTTCTACTTCACCTGTGATAGGTTCTTACACTCACCAATATGATTCAGTCAGAGAACACACGGTTAACCAAATCCTAAACGTTGATTAGTTAACACTGATCCAAGTGTATTGCGAAGGTTGAGCTTGAAGCTAGAAAACCCACACACAGTGACAACAAAACCAGTGCTAATGAAATTTCAGTTCTCATTTTTGATGCACTGTATTCCACTCGGAGTGAGGAGGAATTCATAAAAGTATTATATCAATTTATGTGAGACAAATAGTGTATTTTTAAAAAATTATTCTCATTTGTTATAAAATATTGTAGTTACAGCGATAAAAAGAATCGAATAAATAAATGTTGCGTTCAGTGTGACTTTCGAGCTGGAATTGCATAAATTCCCTCTGCAGCAGTAGACTCTGTAATCTGTCGTTTGTTGTACGCCATTACAGGTAGCTACACACTGTCTGTCTACGCGATTGCCCTGCCCATGATACACATATTTCTAGATCAATGAAATGAAGAAAATCATTACTTTGTGAGGCAGTTAGCAAAATGTTATAAACGGATCGAAATATTTATCCGAAATTTCGTAAACCATTATGAACATGGATTCTGATATGTGATGCCACTTAGCACACTTGGATGATCTGGCTACTTCATCCCCAAATAGACAAAGAAGGAATTGTGAATGAATTGGCTGTTTCTGTACCACAGGTATTTCCAGATCTCTGTTTTTATATGGTTGATTCATGAATTCGCTGTCTCATGTATGCAATATTGCCATCATATTCATACCAATAACTAGTATATGAATTACTTCTCCGCTAAAGTTAAATCTGTACTGGTTTCCCACCAAATAAAATTTATTCTAATACAGTTTAAATCAGAAGTTTTTGTATCAGGAATATTTCCTCTGTTCTAAAATAAATTGAAACACTAGATCAACAGAAATTCTATTTTTTATTAGTTGATCACGGATTGATATAAGTTAGAGAACCATTGAAAACGAGGGAGTACTGGACAGCTGTTTCATCCTAGTTTGGGAATCATCGATAGTACGCACCCACTGCCAGGGTTCAAACCCAGGACCTTCCGGTTACAAGACAAACTCGTATGACATTCAGCCACTGGGACCTGATTCAATGGCTCATGAATTCTAACTTCTACCAATTCGTGATTTAGCCTGACCCGACCATTGTCGTAGGTGGGACATCCATCCTCACATGTGACATCTGGATGGACCTCACTAGTCACGACATCCCGCTAGAACTCCAGAAAACTCCATCCAGTACCAAGTTACTAGTGAGTTTCATGGTTAGGTCGTGTTAAATCACGAATTGATAGAAGTTAGAATTCATGAGCCATTGGATCAGGTCCCAGTGGCTGGATGGTATACGAGCTTTCCTCGTTACCGGAAGGTCCTGGGTTTGAACCCTGGCAGTGGGTGCGTACTGTCGATGATTCCCAAACTAGGATGAAACAGCTGTCCAGTACTCCCTCGTTTTCAATGGTTCTCTAACTGATATCAATCCATGACCAACTCGTAAAAACATAACTAGCCCTCACAAACGAAACTATAGAAGAAGAATTTCTATTCTTTCCTGTGGAAGAAAAAAATTTACAAAACGTAGTATTGGTTGAAGTACATTCAAGCAGTCCGAACTGAAGCCTTTTTGCCATCCCATAATAAACTGATTACTAGAACTCCTTTTTTTGATTATAGCTTAATTCCACACTGTGTTTTTGGCACAACTATGGAATTTTCAGCATGTAATGTCGGTAGCCCAAATTTTGCAGGCCGACTATTGATATCAGGTCACTTGATAGCGACATTTAACGTGACCATTTGTGCTCAGTTTTAATTTAATTATATTCTTGAGACGTTAAATTTAAATAATAAGTTACATGAGACAATATGGTTAGGTATAATTTCATTATAGGTAAAATTTATTTTGATAAAGTCTCACAGTGTTATACAGTGATATTTACTGATGACGTTTTGAGCACAATTTATTGCTCATGATCATATCAAGGAACTCTTCATACAACTTTCCAACTTTGTTTGTATAAATGCATTATTTTTCATCGCCTGACGTTAGTAATATTTTCCATATTTCCTGTATGAGTGATCAGTTATTCCTATTGCACCTGTTGGGTATAGACTCGATGAACAAGGATTCAGTAATCAGCCTCTCTCGCTTCACCTACCTACATAACTTCTTAGAATTTTAATCCTCTCTTACCAAAATAAATTTGACCTATAAATGAATTATGCTCTACCACAGTGCACAAGTTCTATTCTTATATGGTTAAGGATAGTAATGGGTCATGATATTTTATTAGATTTAATGTCTAAGCTTTTGAAGAAACATTTTGAAACCCTTAAAATGACAGCTGATTTTCATCAGCAAGATTCATCGACAACACTGGGTTATGGTATCTTCCTTTCTGGAACATTATCACTCAAAATTTGTCAAAATATAGGCGGGGACATAAGGAATTCGCAGAAAGAAAATCTCAAGAATGAAGGTTTTATAATATTATTCTATTCGTACTATACTCCTAACATGAGTAAAATTATATAAAAAAGTTAACTGTATAATTTTTCACTGTGAAATGGTCATAAGTATGAAGACTTTTATCTTACAAGACAACCTCCACAATTACTTCTTCTTGGAGTACTTCTATCCACATGTTTACAATTTTGGCATTCATAGCAGTCTGAAATAGAATACGAAATTCAAAAATGTGTCATTCGTTTTGCAGTCAAATAAAATCAATTGTACTTTTCACATTTAATTGTTTTGCAATAGTTTTGTCAATAATAAACCAATTTTCATTCAACAATTATACATTCTAAAAATATGCTGTCTAAATATTAAGCGGTAATATTTGCTTCCGAAATATGCACGTGTAATTGAGAACTGAGTGTCGATTTAAAGGAATTAGACATAATGCCTCACACCTCGCTTGATACCATTCAAGTGTGACCAATCTTTATTGATATACCTTTGCATTCCACATGCTCATAATCAGGAATCATCATGCATCGTCAAAAATGACTACACTGAGCTAATCACTCGTGTTACACACACTTCACAATCACCACCATCATAATCATCCCACTGTTATCCGTCAGTCACAATTTACAAGTCATAATAGCTAGATGTTTGCTCGCCTGTGGATCACCTTTTGTTACTAACTTTCGTTATCAACGTCAGTTCAGGTTAGAAATATTGAGGGGACAGCCAAACAACAAGAATCGAACTGTTAGCCTCACATTCCCAGCAAATCACAGACAACTCTATTGTGGATAAGATTTTATTTTGATAAATCACACAGTGTTACACAGTATTATTAATTGATGACGCTTCGAACATAAACTATTACTCAAAATCATATCAAGTTACTCACACAACTGTTTTACTTCATCTATATACATGTGTGGAATTGACTAGATATTTAAATAAAAATCAGTGTAGGATAATGTGCATTCAGAAATAATAATATGAAAAAGTGTTATTGATGAATTACAATCAGATGGGAAATAAGACGAGTGTTTTTATAGTCATAATAAGTAACTTGTTAGAATGTTGTGATGGGGTTGAATTGAAATACAATTTGATATCAACGCTTTTTCTATCTGTTTTATTTCATCATTTAGGTCTTTCCTTGTGCTACTGCTCGGTTTGTTAGACACTTAACTAAGCCTTCCTTCGCAGATGACGGATGAGACAAACTGAAGTCTAAGTATCTATTAAAATGCGTTGGTTTTTTATAAACACTAGTGTGTAGTTTGTGCGTCGGTGGTATAGCGGTTAGGACGCTCACCGACCATGCACATGGTCCGGGGTTCGATCCCCGGCCGACGCACTCCTTTACCTCACTGAGCCAGAAATAATCCTGGTACAGAGGAAAGATTTGGCATTAGGCTAGCAACCCCATCCTGTAAAAACAAACACTGCTACAGAAACTTCAAGCCTCCTAGCTTGAAGCCCTATGTTCCACTGGGGAACGTGAAGGAGAAAAGTGTGTAGTTTACCTTCTTCTATTCGTTTTATTTTACTATTATTATTTTAATGATGAAATAAAACAGATAGAAGGAGCGTTGGTATCAAATAACTATCCTGTAAATTTCGTTAAGAAGATCAGTAAGCAAAATAAAAATAATTGTGAAGCTAGTAATGATAACATAAATAAGAGAGAATATAAGTCATCCACTGTTACACAATAAAAGGAGGGGACATCTGAGACCCTACGTAGACCCAATTAGACAAGATATTGTAATTTTCAAAATACCCTGCAATGACTGTGAGCTAAGTCAACTACATAGGTCAGACTAGTAGGTCGGAGGCAGTCAGGTTGTCGGAACACAAGAATTTAGCTAAAGTAAGAATGGTTGACCCGCCGAAGATAAGTAATTTAGAAAAAAGCTCAGCAATCACACTGCATGCATCAAAACACAACCACACAATACGTTGGGAAAGAGTTAAAATTTTAAGTAGTAATATAGGTAGGTGGAGAGAGAGCTTGATTACGAAATCCTTGTCCATCGAGTCTACACACAAAACGTGCAATAGGAATGACTCAACGCGAATACCAGAAATATGGAAGATATTATTACCATCAGTCAAATCGGAGGAGGATAATTAAATAATCTTAAAATTGTATTTCAATTCAACCCCATCACAACATTCTAACAAGTTACTTATTATGACTATAAAAACACTCGTCTTATTTCCCATCTGATTGTAATCCATCAATATCATATTATTCATATTATTATTTCTGAATGCACATTATCCTACACTGATTTTTATTTAAATATCTAGTCAATTCCACACATGTATATAAATGAAGTAAAACAGTTGTGTGAGTAACTTGATATGATTTTGAGTAATAGTTTATGCTCGAAGCGTCATCAATTAATAATACTGTGTAACACTGTGTGATTTATCAAAATAAAATCTTATCCATACTGGAGTTATACTCTACCACACTACCCAAGTTTTATACTTATATTAATATTTCGGTATTCAGTTTATACAACGACGACGAATATGAAATAAAAGCTTCACTCACCTGATGCAACTATCGAATTGACTATCACTGAAAGAACAATCGCAGTCATCAACATCCTGGAAACAATCATTTTCATCTTGTGAGTTTAGTTTGACAAATGGTTTCTACTTACTCTCTCTGTCTGCACTTTTATACTCTTCAAGTTTAAGTGAGTTATCCAATTCCATGAATGACGAAAACAGTCAGATATTATCATATGATGTGATTCTACGTATTAAGACATTTATCAGTAAATGTTGTTGATATTATCAATGAGTATCGTAGAAATCAGTAGTGTTGTTGATCAAAATAATTTTAGCCGATAACACACCAAATGCTGTACCATTTGAAATAGAATATCGAGGTAATTTTGATGTCACGTAAATAAGTGATCCATTTAGAAAAAAACTATGATGAATACAGAATTGGTTGGATCACTGTTTCCGTCGCTGAGAAAGTCATTCTGAATGTTTCTTTTTATGAGGTCTATGGTAAATAGATGATGTTGCAACCCATTTTCGTGTAACCTGTTATCAAAAATTTGCACTTACACTATTTAGAATGAACATCACGGTGTGCAAATAAATTTATAAGTTTTAGTGTGCATATTCTGAGGGGAAATAATGAATCTGCGTCGGTACATTAGAAATCCACCTAATTAGAGTGATTCTAACTGATATAACTCTCTGAGAAGAGTTAAAGTGAATGTTGCGGTGATGAGATCTGCTGCGAACGAGCAATTTGGCTAGTAGACATTACTGTTTGATGTAGGTTGCATCCAACTACTCCCCTAAGCTAATCAGTAACTTACATTACTGTTGTTCTGTAATTCTTCCTGATTTAGAGGATACCGGTATTTCCCTTAAAGATATTATAAAGTGAATATAGCCTTTGGAAAGGGTTCAAATGAGAATATAATCCTACTGTCACTGCTAGTGTCTTAACCTGTTTTGTATATGAAATCGAGATTCTTCCTTTTGCGATTTACTGCGATAATTATGATTTCTAAATATTATGTGTAAAATGAGGTCAAATTTCTGCTTAGAGTAATGGATGAGGAGTAAAGATGAAAGGTTTGTTTGTGCAGTCACATCTTGCATCTTGTAACGAACAAGAATTACCACTGTTGAATCAAATCGAAGTACCTATTTCAAAAAACTGTAGCAACTTAAATGAATATATTATTCGTGTTGAGCGATAGGAAGAAATTAGATGGAAGCCCTCTTTGTTCCTGCAGATCCCGATTCCTAATTAAACATAATTAAAAATATTTCCTTGATTGCCATGCTTTATTGTTCAGGTGTTCAGCATTAAATATGAAGGAAATAGCTAGTTGTTAACTAAGCTGATAATGGTCTGCAAAGGAATTCATTCGAAGTATCTTTCTGAAGATCACTACTAGGATTCATTTTATGCGCATGCATATTAGAGCATTGTACAAATCTCCTTGGAGTTACATACTACTGAGAGCAAATTATGATGTCAGCATTTCAGTTCTTGAAATCAGTATCTTTACTAAAATATATTCAGTTTTGTTTAATTTTATTGTCATACATTAATTTTATTTGTAGCATTACGTTTATCAAAGGTGCAGCAAAAACTATTATTACACTGAAAGCTTTACTTTCTTCAATGTTTTCAAATAAAACTTTGTAAATAAGAAAAGAGACACGTAGATATAACTCAGTGATAGTTTACGTGAAGTAAGCTGTTCATCAAAATAAGCCATTTTTTATCGACACATAGTATCATGCATAACAAAAGACTGTCAACAGTATATTTAACAAACAATAATGCAAATTACATATACAGCCACGTTTACAAAGGTATTACTAGCAAAGGAAAGGATATTTTTTATCATTATTATTATTTTATTATTGCTCCCTTGGGTTCCTAGTGGCACATAGGGCTTCAACTGCACGTCTCCATTTTCTTCTGTCTTCTGCAATACTTTTCGCCTGCATCCATGTTAATCCATCTTCTTTCAACTCCTCTTCACACGATCTCCCCCATGTCACCCTTGGAGGTCCCACATGCCGCTTCCCTTTCGGGTTCCACTCGAGGGCTTGGCGCGCGATGTCACCCAGAGGTCTCCTCAGCGAGTGTCCGATCCATCTCCACTTTCTCCTGCATATTTGTTGGGCGATTGGTTCTTGCTTTGTTTGTTCCCATAATTCCTTGTTGGTGATTCTTTCCGGCCATCTGATCTTCAGTATTGAGCGAAGACAGTTGTTAATAAAGGTCTGCAGCCTTTTGGAAATATTCTTTGTGACCCGCCAAGTTTCTGATCCGTATAGAAGAACTGACTTTACGTTTGTATTGAAAATCCGAATTTTGTTGCTGATGCTGAGTGACGAAGATTTCCAGATTGATTTCAGGCTGATGAATGTGTTTCTCGCCTTCCCGATTCTCTCTCGATTTGACATCCTCGTCCGTTCCTCCTGTAGTTGAGACAATGCTCCCTAGATAAGTGAATGAAGTAACCTCTTTCAAATCCCTCCCGTTGATGGTGATTGTCGTTGGATGTTGTGCTGCTGTTGTTGTTGGTTGGTTATTTTCATAACCTCCGTCTTGTCTATGTTTACCTGGAGTCCTGTCTTCGCCGGCTGCTTCTTCGACCAGTTTGTCGGTTTTCGCTTGTAAGTCTTCGATTGTGTGTGACATCAAACATAAGTCATCCACGCGAAATCCAGGTCTTCTAGGTTCTTCACGTCGGTCCAGGATATTCCTGTCTTCTCGTTTCCCACAGTCTGACGCATAATCCAGTCCACCACAATTAGGAATATCATTGGTGATAGAAAGCACCCTTGTCTGACTCCTGTGTTTACTCCAAACGCCTCGCTGAGTCTTCCGTTGTGGATCACTTGGCAGGTGCCGTTGTCGTACAGCTGTTGAATAAGGTTGATGAATATTTGGGGTACGCCATAGTACTCGAGTAATTTCCAAATTACTTCACGATCAACGCTGTCGAAGGCCTTCTCAAAGTCTATAAAGTTGAGGTAGAGGTTTGATTGCCATTCCATGCTTTGTTCGATGATGATGCGTAGAGTTGCAATTTGGTCAGAACATGATTTGCCTTTCCTGAATCCAGCTTGTTCTGGTCGGAGTTCTGTCTCCAGTGCGTCCTTTAATCTCTCCAGGATGATGCGACTCAGGATTTTACTTGGCGTCGATAGGAGCATGATTCCTCGCCAGTTCTTGCAGAGTCCTAAGTCGCCCTTCTTTGGTAGTTTCACGAGGTAACCTTTCCTCCAGTCAGTAGGCACCTTTCCCTCCTTCCAGACCTTTTGCAATAATGGAGTCAGCATGTCTGCTGTCGTCTCTGGGTCTGCTTTCAGTGCTTCAGGGGGTATTCCATCTGGTCCGGCTGTTTTCCAGCTTTCAGAAGTTTGATTGCGTTCAAGACTTCAGCTTTCGTTGGAGGATTGGTGTCAACTTGCAGTTGTGTGCGCGCTGTTGTTGGTATTTCTGGACGGGTTGCAGGTGATGGTCGGTTCAAGAGTCCTTTGAAGTGATCCGCCCATTGTTTAATCTGTTTTTCTTCCTTGGTAATGGGCTTCCCTTGGCTGTCTTTTATAGGTTTCGCTTGTGTATGTCTCTTTCCGGATAGAGATTTGGTTATCTGATATAGTGTCCTCAGGTCCCTTTTGCCTGCTGCCTTTTCAGCTTCAGTAGCTAGATTGTCGTAGAATCGTCTTTTGTCCTTCCTAGCACTCTTCTTCACTTCTTTGTCCAATGCTTTGTAAGTTGAACTCATCGTCTCCTTCTCCTGTCCGTCCTTGCATTGAATCATTTTCTCTTTCACCATTCTCCTCTCTTCTATTAATTTCCAAGTGTCCGTTGAGAGCCATTCCTTGTCTTGTCTCTTCTTTCTTCCTAGAACCGTTGAACACGTTTCGTTGAGAATCGCCTTCAGAGACTTCCAATGTTCTTCCACGCATGATTCTTCAGTGCTGTCGCGTAGTGTTTCCTGCTTTGCTCTGACAGTTGCAGTGAAAGTGTCCTTTGTGGTTGTGTCCTTCAGTAATTGAGTGTTGAACTTGCATTGTGGCCTATCCCCAGCTATCCTCGAGGCTTTTAGTTTCACCTTGAAAGTCCCTTCTACTAGATAGTGGTCTGAACCCACATCTGCTCCTCTCCTTGACCTTGTGTCCAGTAGGCTCCGTCTCCACTTTCTTGAAATTGAGATGAAGTCTATTTGATTCTTGGTGTTTCCATCTGGTGAAATCCATGTCGTCTTGTGTATATCCTTGTGTTTGAACACACTACCGCCAATCACCAAATCATTGAAGGCGCAGAAGTCTGAGAAGAGTTCACCATTGTCGTTCATTTCACCGAGGGCCTCTCGACCCATGGTGAGTTCTCTTCCTGTGTTGTCTCCTCCCAGCTTCGCATTCATGTCGCCCATCAGGATTTTGATATCGCCATTTGGGACGTTGTCCATTATTGCTTGTAGTTGTCTGTAGAACGCCTCCTTCTTCTCTTGTTCTGAGACGTTTGTAGGCGCATAACATTGAATGACTGTAACTTTCCTTCCTTTTGAGTTGAACCTGGCTGTCATTATCCTGGAGGAGATTGGTTCCCACTGCATGAGAGCTTTGGCTGCTGTTGGTGACATCATGATGGCCACTCCCTCGGTGTGCTCATGGTTGTCCTCTAGGTGGCCGGAATAGATTACTGTCTCTCCAGTAGGTAGTTGGCACCTTCCAGTTCCGTTCCATCTGCTCTCGCAGATTCCCAACACTTCTATTCTGTACCTTCTCATTTCAGCGGCTATCTGGGCAGCCTTTCCAGTTTCGTACATTGTACGAACATTCCAGGTACCCATCCTTACTTTTGCTTTCATCGAAAGAAGGCACATCGGCTGACTGGCTTCCCGAAGGCTTTCACCAGCCTGCGTCATTTCACTTCCCCGATTCCAGCAAAAAGTAAGGCTATTGCTTATGTTTTTAGAATTTTTAATATATTTATTCGTTGAAGTTTCTGTAGCGATTTGGTTGTTTTACAGGGGTGGAGTTGCTAGCACCACGCCCCAACCCTCCCTCTTTACCCGGTCTTGGGACCGGCGAGAAAACTAGTAAGCTAGTAGCCTAGCAAGCTAGTATCTGGCGAGGTTAGTGTATTTAATTGGTATCAAGTCAGTTGATAGTAACAATAGAGTTTAATGTTTTTATTTCTCCCAATCAATGTGGAATGAAAGTAAGGAGATCTCTTTCAATACAACTGCTGCCTTCATTTCTGTAGGTTTTTTGTCAACAAATGAAGCGTAATAGCATGTTAAGAAAGTTAAAGACATTTATGGGTATAAGTTATCATTTCAATCTTCTATCAGTCTCCTACCTCTATTTTTACACAGTAGTAAACAAACTGTCAGTTTAAATGCTTCTGTGGAGATCAGCACATTGTTTCTATGATTATACAAGTC